GAGTACCATGCACAGCATGTAGCTTGAGGTGGACTGTCAACACAACAGTATATTTACTGGCTGTAAAGCTGTGGTGTATTGGTGAAGTGTTCCTGTAATCCTCCGGGGTGATGCCAGACACAGTTCAAGCTGTGGAAATTACAATGAATGTATCACCAATTACAATGAATGTATCAAGCAGCTGTAGGACTGTCAACATAAAGCTGCTGAATCCGTTTGGGGCACAATGAACCTGTCATTCTCTGTACAGCCTGTGACAAAGCAGTTATACCTCAATTAATTTGTAATTTGTAGAAGTGTTAACATGAATCTCTTGTGCAACCAAAGTGAAAGATTTAGGTGATTGTGTGGCCATATACATATATATATACATGCAATACATGCATACACACACCAGTTCCAATTTCCAATTTAGAAAGGAGCCAATTACCGTAACCTACTAGCATGTCTTTGGACTGCGTGAGGAAACCAGAGTAACCGGAGGAAAACCCACACAAGCAAACTCCAAGCAGATAGTTCAAAGACAAATACATCTGCACTGCTAACCCTCACCCTCTATTATATAGGTGCTAACTAATAATCTAACAGCAGCAGGTGTAACTGTGAGAAAAAAACCCACTAACATAAAAAGATTCCGTCACACCTCTCTTGGAAAAAGTCAATTTATGATGAAACGCGTCCGGTGGGCATGGACACGCTGTCTCTACGCTGATCACGTTGCAGACTGCAGTTACCAGGAAGTGTTGTGAGGTATTTTCTAAGCTACCTCATCTATAGAGGGGGTTGGAATGACTGTCTTATTTTGATGTGGACTAAAGCAGAGCTGGGGACCGGCTTTTATTATTGAAGGATGTAATTACACAGTTTTATGTAAGTTATTATTTATAATAAAGTTTGATTGGGGTTTTATGCTATGCGATGCCTTTATTACCTTCTCTGAGCGGCATAAATACATGAGTGGGGATCCAAGATAAGGACGTTTTTTTCAGGGAATCTCGATGGAAGTATATGAAGGAAGAAGAACATTGACCATTTTTCATCATATGGTAAATCTCCTTTTGGTGAGTGTGCTGTGAAAACATTAGCTTCAAAATTTTTCTGGAGTGGAGTGGCACACACCATAAGCACGAAAGTTACATATTGTTCTTGCGTATGAAGCACATAGTGATTTTATCACGATTTGGGAGCACCTTGTTATTAAATAATGTTTTAACTGTTTTATGGACACTAAACTGTGTTTAATTTTACATCTTGTGAAAAGTATTTTTGTGGAGCACTTTGTTATCAAAGAATTATTCGAATATTTGTGGACACTGAATTGTGTTTATACATTGTTTGTTATATTGTGCATTTTTGGGTCACTTGGTTATATGTAAGGGGGAGGGTTTTTTATGCGCAGTGATTGCTGATAGACATGATAGATTGCTGATAGACATGTAAGCCGGCAAAAAAATTGTTTCGTTTCATGATGATTTGGATTTTTGTTTATTTCACATTTCGGCATTCAGGTCCAAAAGCTGATTTGGTTTGTGATTCTGAACTTTCTGAAATTATGTTTTAGTTCAAAACAGTTATTATGAACGAATGTTCATTACAGAAATACCCAAAATTGGCTGTTGTTTGTGTGTGTAGTATGTTTTACTTTTAAAGTGACATTAAACCTTTACTTTTTTTTCTTATTAACTTTTGACAGTCCACAAAAACATGAGGTAATTGTTTTTACTTCTTCAAATTCTTTTAAATGTTTATTCTCTAGTGGTCCCCACTGCTAGCCCTCCTGCCCCCTCCTCAGCAGCTCACTGCCAGCTGCGAAGGAGTCTGCCAACTTAGTTTCATTTTGAAATCCGCAATTTTGTTAAAGTGGACCTTTACACCTTTGACTAAAAATCATATCAGCATGCAGCTCTGCATGCTGATATGAAATCATCTTACATTCATTAGTTAAACAAGCCTATTTTTATTTTACTTACAATTTCTTTCTTCCTGGCCCACTTTGGCACAAATGATGTAATAGTGCTCAAGCATTGCAACCTTTGGAAGATTACATCAGCAGAGCATTGTTTGAAAATCTCATTTGTAATCTCGCAAGATCTCAGGCAAAGGCATTTTCCTCCCCTGAGATGATGTGCACTGTTACATGTCCTAGTCACATGTGTCAGAGTTCCAGGAAGTAAAGGGTGATCTAGTAATCTGCCCTTAGTTTAATTGTCAATGTGAGAAGACTTGGGAAGAAAAGAAAAATAAGGCATCCAAAAAATAAAAAGCCTGCAATTATCTAGAAGTATGTGTTTGTAGATTGTTATTACTAAACGTTTCCAAAGGTGTTTATGTTGTTATTCTGAAGATATGGGTAAAGTTCCTCTATAAACAAACATTCAGATTAATTTGCATTCGGGTTCATTGGATTTCAGACATTCAAATGCATCCAAATGTCCGAATTCAAGAAAATTTGTCTGAATCTGCATTCGGCACAAAATTAAATTTGCATGTCTAATTGCTGATGTTCTCTCATCTGCTGTAACTACAAGCAGTCATTTTGCAAATTTAACTGCACATCTGTTGCAGTATTCAAACATGCTAGGGAGTACTTCTAAAAAGGTGCAGACAATCTAATCTATTATGCAACTTGCATACAGATAATAAATCTATTCCTAATTTGCAGTATAAAATATAACATAAGAAGGATTAGCAAACACAATAATTGAAGGATAAATGATGCCAACCTTCCCCAGATTCATACTTACTGAGATCTGATAGGCACGGTTCCATTCTGTTTACACCCAGTGCGGCAATGCTCCCTCTGCTGTCCACAGCTGAACATTACAGCCTTATAGACTTCTATGGGCCCCTCTCTTAGCCAGGAAAGGGAGCGCTGGATGTCATCAAATAGCTGAGCAGCAGCCCTCAGATCTTGGTAAGTATAGATCTGTGGAGGGCGAGGGTGGGATTTCTTAGATCAGAGGAGAGTAGCAAAAAGAATAAGTGCATTTTATCTTAAAGTGCACTTATTCTTTAAGACAGTATTGATAAATATCTCCAGGCACTGCTAGCCTTAAGAAGGCAAGCAGCAGTAACACCTATGGTGCCACAAGCTGCTCTCTGTATGGTCTTCTTATAAAGGGATAAACTATCTGGAAGGCAATGGGTCTATGTGTGATTGGCCTGCGTGTGATTGCCCAAGCTACTTGGGAGACTGCATAGCATTTATGTCCCATGTTCATAATGTATAGTTTCTGCAAAGCAATATAGAAAAAGGGATTATATAACCAATTAAAGTCTGGTTCATAAGAAATGTATTTAGCATAACTGTCTCATATTGTGCAGTAAGCTTGGCTGAATAAATCCATAAAAAGTAAAAGTTGGAATTAAAACCTTTGACTTATTGCAGTTTGGTAGTCATTATAAAAGCACACATAAGGTTAACTGGAGCAGTAAGGCTTTAACTGCCATCCCAGCTCTCTTGTATGGTGACCTCATCATCTCTGAAGGTTGTGATTGCTTCAAGTGAGAAATATCATTTAGCTCTAGATTTAACATCACTGACAGCTAATTCATTTGAGCTAGAGGTGGTAAGATAGTCATATGTTAGTTTCTAATTTCAACTATATAATGATTTCATTACCAGATATCCATCCTAAACACATTCTGCTCTGTACAGTAAAATTACATATTTCTCAGCTATCATTTTACACAGATGGTTTGATTTACTAAAGGAGTAGATACTGCTCACTTATCTTAATAAATCAAATAAATCTGTATTCACTTTATTTATTAAATGATATGCAAGAAAAATAACAATATTTTTGTATTTCCCTTTTGCATGATTGAGTATTTCAATTGAACATGGCTTCACCAGTAAGGCAACAGTTTGCTTAAACAGGTAAAGAGGTTAGAAAATAAATGGACCAGATTTGAATTGTAAAAGCTGAACTCCAGCCTTACTTTCAGTCTTGCACAGTTGTAAAGGCTCCTTTTCTGTACTAAAATTACTTATTCTGATTTCACTGCACACTGTAAGCGTCTCACAATGTACATTAAAAGCTGCAGCAAGCCAGACAGAGCCTGACTCATTTCCTGGTTGCTAGAAATCCAGCATCATCGCCTTACTGTCCCTGGCCTGCCCCTTTCATTCATTGGGTTTCAGTTCTTTCAATCATGTAGGTGGGGTATCACAAGTGGACATTACCCAGATGCAGCCTGCCCTCTCCTCCAGACTGACATTAACCTGTCAAGGCATTCTGATATTTGCATAACTCCTCCCTAGAGCCAGCCCACTGCTTGTATTAGGGCTGATGGCTCCTGAGAGGAGTACTGAGGCAGTTAATTTCATTCGTCATTTCAAGCCTGATAGTCAGCTTTAAAGCAAATCCAAAGGTCAATACATGGAAAACTATAGATGTAGATTATTGAAGTTACAAACAAATGAAAATATTGCAAAAAAAACCCACTATTTATAATCATTGTAAGGCTTTGGTACAATATCAAATTGTAATAATATGTGAAGTGCCCACTTCTGAATTCCGGATCATATTTAAGTTAAACAATCCCCTGAGGCAACTCTTATTGAACCCCTTTGACTGCTAATCTCAACTGCTTTTTATAAAATAAATATGTACCGTATATATAACGGAATAGAAAGTTATTGTGTGAAAGACTCTATAGAGGAAAACTGGATTCCACAGAGGAAAATATATGAAGGCTGCCATTTACCCAGGGGGCAAGGGGCTGTGTGGCCTTTTCACAAAACTGAGCATGTTAAAAAAACAAAATACAAATAAAACTCATCTATTGATTTTACACAATGCATCTATTTTGCCTATATGTCACCCAAAGCTAAAGCTCCCACTAAAGGCTTATAGATTCAAACAACAATTAAAATATGAATAGCACAACATCTTCTTAAAGTGGTGCTTTAGTTGCATTTGAACAGAGGGTTAAAGGTCCCCAATAAGCATTTTTCACAGCAAATGTTGTTGTGGCAAGGCCATGCTGATACTTACGCAGATTGCTGTGTGCCTATATGGGAGCTTGACATTCTCAATGCAGTGACCAGTGGTGACGTTCCATACACACATCTCCCTGCAAGACATGACCCCAGGTTATTCATTGTTATTTCAACTCAGCTAGCCTGGACAATTGTGTGACACCATATTTTTTAAGAGTAAAAACTGTATTTAAGTCAATGCTTATCGCTTATGTAGCTTTTTGTTAGAGATTACTGGTGAAGAAAATGTTGTGTTTATAAAGGACAGGTGGCATACTGAATGTATTTCCTTTTGTTTAGGTAATTACACCTTGCTGCCCAGCATCAAAATAAGTTTAAGACCATGTCTAGAGTAAAACAAATTGTAGGTGTACTGCGATTACGTCTCATCAGCGTGTCAGCAGAAGTATCATTCTTCCGAACTACATCCTGCTGAAAATGGGTCATTTCACAGAACCTCAGCCACACGTTTTAAAGCATATGTGTATAGCTCCCGTGTTATTGTCATTCAAGCAAAGTGATGAAGAGGAAACAGCACCACCATGAGGATTCCTTAGGATTTGTTGGAGAGCTTTTGGACCTTCTGTATTACAGCCAGTTTAAACAAGTTTAACCAATTAAAAAAAACGTAAATTGACATTTAAATAAACATTTTGCATTAGAAACATTATTACTTTTGGCTTAATTAAACCATTACACTTTAATGCAAACACAATATCGTTCATTCATAGGTAATTCTAAGTTCCAAAGTGATAAAACATGTTGGTATTTAATAATCATAACAACAGTAAAAAAAAATTGTAATAATATCTAATAATAATAATAATAATACACTCACTAATAATAATAACAACGACAAGAAAGGTAGAGTATTTAAATATGAAATACAAAAAAATTTGCCTGTTTCTAAGCAAGCTCAAAATAAAAACTCATCTATTGTTTTGACAACATCTCTTTTGCCAATATGTCACTAGAAGCCAAAGCTTTTGGTAAAGTGAAAAATGTAAAGTACAAATATAAATTTAAATATGGGTGAAACATAACCTTCTTAAACTAGTATTTTATTTGTATTTGAAATGTGAGTTTTGAAAAGGTCCACAATAAGCATTTTCACACTACTACTAGCAGTAGTAGTGATAATAATCCTATCTTATAATTATATTAATAGAAGAATTCAGGAAGTGAAATAGTGTTTTGCTTTTCCCCTTTTATTCCAGGTTGAACTTCAAATCGAATGTTACTATTACAAATATAGGACAAGCATTAGATTAGATAGCTAGAGATAGAAAATATTTGTGTGGTATGGTACTTAGAAAGGGCAAATTTTAAAAATGAATTCTGCACTTTAGACTTCTCTAAGATGGCGTCACGGTTCTGTCTATCAAGATGGCGGGTGGACATTGAACAGTAAGAATAGCTCTTTGCTCATGCATGCACACTCAAGTGTCAACATTGGGAGTGTGAGAGTTAGTTTCACTCCTGTGCTCCAGAATGGCTATTGCAGCAAAATACTGAGCACGTGTGGTGGTCTCTGATTTGGCTGCTGCTACTGCACATGCACAGGATCTCACCAGCATGTTTCTGACAACACAATATAGCAGCGAGAACCTGCACCTCCATGTTAATTGCAGCCCTTCAAGAGCACAGGAGTGAAAAAAACGTTTGCATCCCCCCATGTTGACACTAGAGTGTGCACGCCTGGGCAAGAAGCTATTTTTACTATGCATGTGCTGGAATTCTTTAGAGAGCACAGGAGTCACAATCACACTCATTTTGACAATACAATCCTTCCAGCACAACTCTGTCACCACTCTGCCACACAACCCCTGCTCTATGCACATTTTCTCCCACTAACTTATTACTCTGCCGCACCCCCTTGCTTCAGCTCATTCCCCTCTGCCCGCCCACCCCTGTCCTCACCACTTTTCCTCCTACCACTCTTGCCATTTTGCTACTTGCTACAAGTCCCATCTGCCACTGCGGCAAAGGGACAATGAAGTGTGCACCAAATATTTATCTTCCCTCTTCAAGACATAGTTCAGCTGCCCTTCTTCCTGCCCTTCTTCCTTAGCAGTTCTGTATCTCTGCTTTTCCCAGAAATCTACACAGAGATGAAGTGACATAGGAGGCATCCCCTGCAATGGGAGTGTAATTTTTGCTGAGATGCTTTGTACAGCTAAAGGGAATCAGGTTACTCTCCTTTTCTTATTACAACACCAATGTCCCTCAGGTGCAGATAATGAAAGCAGATCCTCCAATTTAGCAGTCAGTTTGAGAATGGGTATGCTGAGGCAAACCTAATTTTCTTCATAAGAGATAAAGGTGAGGTAATCAAGTTACCTAAAATCCTTGCAATGAATATACTGTGTATAGAGAGGATTTTCTTTATTATGAAACTGTGTTTTACAAATGAATGGGCCATGTAGAACTAAATGTAGTTTTTATATGTCACACATAGAGAATATTTTGCCAGGGACAAATGCCAATTGCTCCCTTTTGCCACTTCAGAGTTAAAACCCTTAAGATCAATGCATCAATTATATTTGTAATTCAATTTGTGTATTCAATGTTTTGTATGCTAATGATTAAATGACCTATTGTACAAAAAATGTTTTGTTTTTTTATAACTAGCAACTTCCTGTTAAACATTTCACTATGCTAAATAAAAGCAGACTATTACTTTCTGAATTCACTTGGTACTCACCCATTTTCGGCTGCACTCACAACATATGGCTGTTTTTCGAAATCCCTTGCTTTTGCTAAGCAGGTGACAGCAGCAGTGTGTCCAAAAAGAATCGCTTTAGAAGTAATCTGAAAAAAAGCATGAGATGGAGGTAACCGTGAACAATGTGTGTCACCACTCCTTTGTTGGCAATCCTTTAAAGAGTTCCTAAGAGTTACATCATGCTGAATACAATAAGTATTAGTGTGTATTCCTGTATTCAGGGTTTTGCTTTTTAAGAATACAATTTTGACCAGTCTCATAATTTGCTAATATTCCTGATAAATTAAACTTTAACAAGTGAAATAAAAACATTTTAAATCAGACATGACAAACCCAAATCTAAGAATGTACTGAAAATGGAGTCACATCTTATTCCATGGGCATAGGCAAAGGGACAGTAAGAATTTTAACTTAAAGTAGAACACCAGGCGAAGTGCTTGATAAACATCTGAAATCCATACAGTGTATGTTTACTGTTTTGCCTGTCAAAGGAATTGTGATTTTGTTTTATTCTGTATGGCCTGCTCACTGAGCAATTATTGGGCATCATCACCTCTCTCCAAATACTAGAGAACTAAACACACTCATTCAAAATCTCTCCAAACAGTTAATTTTAAGGCATGCCAACTGTCCGGGTTGCCAGTGTGCTTAGTTCATCTCTCAGCCGAACTTTCAAGCCCTCAAATGGCTGCTGTCATAGCTTATCAAATGTGCAGCACCATGGCAACTGAGATCCAAATAGAGGCTATGATGGCACCTTAACTGGCTGTAAAGAATCAGAGGATGCAGTAACCTGGCTGTGCAGTGAATCAGAGTATAAATTAAACCAGTTTAGTGGGTAAAATAATAAATATTTATATTCTTAAACACCATATTTAGCTGTTTGCCTCACTTTAAGGATACTTTTTTAGAATGTATATTAAGGAAGCAATTACATTTTATTAGGCATTCATCATTCACTTCTATGATCACCATTTAAACATCACAATGTCATAAAAATAATTATTCTAACAAGAAAAGGTAAACAGGAACTCCAGAAAGTTTAGGAGACTGTCAGCTTCCTAGCAACAGCTATTATCCTGTTTTTTAGAGTTCTGCACATTACTTGTCCTGAGCTGTACATAACTATTATTTTAATCCAGAATAATACACACATGTCAGAATGCAGCAGTCCAGATAGTCCTGATTTAGGTGTTGTGAAGAATAACATTTTGAGTTTCAGTGGCTGGTTTTCTAATTTTTCTCAGAAGTGTCAGAGATTTTAAGTAATTATGTTCCGGCTGGTCAAAGACACGGACACATTTTATAGAATTCCAGATCACTGATGCCAAAACATTTTAATAGGCAGCTATTATATATTTATGTGTCTGTAAAATAATAATCTGTTTACAATGCACACCGGCAAGCACATATGTATAGGCAGATAGTTGGATATATAGAGATCGATAGATAGATAGATAGATAGATAGATAGATAGATAGATAGATAGATAGATAGATAGATTAATGCATTCTTTTTAATGCAGTCTTTGTAAACAAACCTTTATTTCCATGGATAAGTGCCAAAGGCATATCTGTCCCTCCAGACTGCCAGTGACAATGGTCTTCTGATCCTCTGTTATCATCATAGCTGTGATACTGTGTGCAGGGGCCCGATTACCCCATAGCGCCACTGCTTGTGTAGTGCTCTTCATTATAAGCTTTGTCTGAAATGAAGAAGAACCATTTCATATACAGTATGTGTAATAAAGCAGATGAATAATCTCACAGATAACTGATACAGACACAACTTATATTTATATTTGGTAGGGCCTTACCTTATGTACACAATAATATCCTAAATGGCCTATGTGTCTATGATGGTACCGGCACACATAGGGGAGCCTGTAGGATTTAGCAGCCACCTTTCTTGCTGCAGTATATTGGCTAACCTTAAGGCCTCACATGTCTGTTATGTAGATAGTAGTGTAAATACACTAGCCACTATACTATACATTATAGTACTTTTACAACAGGAGTAAAGAAAAGCTTGACTTTTTGGGGGAACCATAAAGACCTAGATCAGGAGCTCTGCTAGAGGTGGCTTTCACTGGCTTGAAATATTTTGGTGCTGGCTATTTCTTCGTCTATGTGGTCAGCTGCTCTCTAATTATCAGGAATATGAGGGATAGCTATAGCGCACATGCTAGGCAGGTATTGGTGCAATGCTGGTGTCCACCAGTGGGTATCTACCAGTGGCCAGTTGGAGTTTAATCAACCACCACCTGACGCAGGCTGCTGGGATATTATTTAGCCCCTGGCAGTGTGCTGTGTGTTCCTGGCCTCATTATTTTACCTGTGAGTCTGGATGCTCTGGGTCTGTTATTACTTGAACCTTCTACCTGTTCTGGTCCCTGTTCGTGATCTTCGTTTCCCACATTTCTATCGTTCTCCTCTCTCCTCCTATCAGCATGCCTTTTGTTAGCACATGAACACTACAGCCAGGGCCGGATTTGCCACAAGGCCACGAGGCCTGGCCTCGGGGTGGCAGGGAGTAGAGGGGCAGCAGGCGTGTGGAATTCCTATTGCCTGACACCCGGGACATGCAGTTCCGGGCACTGGGCAGGAAGTTTTTCTACATTTAGCCCTGCTTCAGGTAAGCAGGGCTAAATGTATAGCATGGGAAGCCGCCACTTGTTTTGTACAAGTGATCCCGGCGATGCTGAGATGACTTGCAATTAGCCTGCTCGTCTGTCCACTCCCCTGACCCCCCATGGTCTGCCCCTACCTTTGGCTGCCTCTCTTCCAGCTGGTCACCTCCCCGCCATCGTTAAACACGGACACGGGATAGCCTTCTCATCTCAGCTGTCAGAGGAGCTCCAGCTCAGTGCTGTGCTCAAATTCCTGTATTGGAGGTGACAGGTTCAATATAAATAACCTGTCACCTGCAAATGCTATCACACAGGGGCTTGTTAGCTAAAAGTTAAATGGAAAAGCTTTTTTTTCTTATAAAAATTAAAAAATACAATAAATAACAATTAAAAAGGTAAAAGATAATAAGAAATAATAATTAAAATAAAATAATTTAAAAAGTGGTAAAAAATAATAAAATAAAAAATATAAAGTGTAAAAGATAATAACATAAATAAAAATAGTAAAAAAATAAATAAAATCCTGCTGCCCCGGCCAATGTATATATAGATATATATCTATATATATATCTATATATACATACTATATTGCCAAAAGTATTGGGATGCCCCTCCAAATGATTGGATTCAGGTGTTCCAATCACCTCCATGGCCACAGGTGTATAAAATCAAGCACCTAGGCATGTAGACTGCTTCTACAAACATTTGTGAAAGAATGAGTCGCTCTCAGGAGCTCAGTGAATTCAAGCATGGTAACGTGATAGGTTGCCACCTGTGCAATAAGTCCATCTGTGAAATTTCCTTGCTACTAAATATTCCCCGGTCACCTGTTAGTGGTATTATAACAAAGTGGAAGCAACTGGGAACAACAGCAACTCAGCCACGAAGTGGCAGGTGATGAAAAATAACAGAGCGGGTTCAGCGCATGCGGAATCGCACAGTGTGCAGAAGTCGCCACTGTCTGCAGAGTCAATAGCTACAGACCTCCAAACTTCACGTGGCCTTCAGATTGGCACAACTAAAGTGCGTAGAAAGCTTCATGGAATAGGTTTCCATGGCTGAGCAGCTGCATCCAAGCCTTACATCACCAAGTGCAATGCAAAGCATCAGATGCAGTGGTGTAAAGCACACCACTACTGGACTCTAGAGAAGTGGAGATGTGTTCTCTGGAATGACAAATCACGCTTCTCTGTCTGGCAATCTGATGAAAGTGTCTGATTTTGGCGGTTGCCAGTAGAACGGTACTTGCCTGACTGCATTGTGCCAAGTGTAAAGGTTGGTGGAGGGGGAATTATGGCAGGGGCATCCTGAGGTCGAGTGTCGCCCAGGAGTGGGGACTGGGTGACACCCCACCATGACATCATCGCTAATGCGCGTGATGTCACCACGCACGTGCGCGATGACAGAATCGGGCCGCACCCCCCGCACCCCCCTTGTGAAGCCACTGGATTATGGTGTGGGCTTGTTTTTTAAGGGTTGGAATTGGTTCCAGTGAAGGGAACTCTTAAGGCATCAGCATACCAAGACATTTTGGACAATGTCATGCTCCCACCTTTGTGGGAACAGTTTGGGAATGATCCCTTCCTGTTCCAACATGACTGCGCACCAGTGCACAAAACAAGGTCCATAAAGACATGGATGAGCGAGTTTGGGGTGGAGGAACTTGACTGGCCTGCACAGAGTACTGAACCTCAACCCGATAGAACAGCTTTGGGATGAATTAGAACGGATGCTGTGAGCCACGCCTTCTCGTCCAACATCAGTACCTGACCTCACTAATGCGCTTCTGGAAGAATGGTCAAACATTCCCAAAGACACACTCCTAAACCTTGTGTACAGCCTTCCCAAAAGAGATGAAGCTGTTATAGCTGCAAATGGTAGGCCAACTCAATATGGAACCCTACGGACTAAGACTGGGATGCCATTAAAGTTCATGTGCGTGTAAAGGCAGGCGTCCCAATTCTTTTGCCAATATAGTGTATTAGTGTATATATAGATATATCTATATATACACATGTATATATAGATATATCTATATATAGATATATCTATATCTATATATAGATATATAGTCTGTCAAGAAGTCAACATCCGCATAAGCAAGCCAATGAAATAGCCTTCTGGAGGTTATGGATACTATGACCTGCCATGAACTTGCTCTTGCTTGTCTTTGCATGTACAAAGCAGTTGTGAAGATGTCCTTCATTTAGTTGATATGGGAACTACATAATGTTTACATGTCAGCAGTCCCTTATTGTAGCCTCAAAATGCTCAGTGTAAACACAAATGTCCTTTATGCCCATTTTTAGATTTTAAAAAATAGTTAATACATGGTGTGTGTAGCGAAAGATTTGACCATGAGAACTGGTGGCCATGCATGTATATATGCCACCAATGTCTTCATCCAGAATACTCCAACATCTACGAGTGTGTTTACAGGGACATGCAATCCTGTTCATACGCAGAATAATAAAAAAAAAAAAAAACTTCAGCTCAGCACTACAACATGGCCAAATCCAGGTCTAATTTATGTATTTTTATTTTTAAACACTAATCTGGACACAAAGGAGTACATCCAGATAGTGGCATGGGATAACACACATGCACACAATGAGGCACTTATCATCCGGGTTTAGCATTTGGCCATTAAATGTCTGCTGCCAGATACCAAAGCATGATTTTGTACTATTCCAAGGGATTTAATCAAGCTGGCCATATATTTGAGATGATAAGAGTTGTCAAAAAGCAATCTGACACATGTAGGATCTGTTTTCTCTTACATACACTTACATGCTTGGATCCTGTGGGCTTGATTTACTAAAGGCAAATGGGCTGCTTATTTTGCAAGGGGATTTTCCCTTAGTTTAGTCAATGTGATGAAAATTCACTTTGCAAAAAAAAAGCCCAACCACATGCAAGGAAAATTTTAAAATATATATATTTTTGCTTGCACATGATTGTATAATGGTAGTCAGCAGAGCTGCACTTCATTTACTTAGCAAAAGGGAAAATTTAGCCTATTTGCTTTGAGTAAATCAACCCCTATGAGTGTGCACATGTGTAACTTGGAGAGTTGAGCCAATACATTCGGACAACAATTTAGCACTATCTAAGATATTCCAATCCTGTTTTTCTTACTTGATGATGGCCAAGAAATACCAGCATGGTCATCAGTCAGCAACAGACATCTGGATCTAACTAACAGCAGATATCAGATCATGGGTATTTGATGGTATTTGGAACTTTATAAGACCTTCTTGAAATAGAGATCTATATTGTCTGTTTCAGGGGGATTTAATGTTAATCAATTTTAAGGTACCGTATATACTCGAGTATAAGCCGTCCCGAATATAAGCCGAGGTACCTGATTTTAGCAAAAAAAACTGGGAAAAAGTATTGACCCGAATATAAGCCGAGGGTGGGAAATGAGGCAGCTACTGGTAGATAGATACCAATAAAATAAAATTCCTCCTGAGACATGGCTACAAATGTATTCAGGTTGGTGGTGCAAAATAAGTAAGTATGTTGCATAATAATTAATGGTGTTGCATAATAAATAAGGCCACGCGTTTGGGATATGTGTGGTTTTACAAACACGTTGCTTTTAGGTTGTGCACAGGTAGCCTGTGGAGTTAATGGTAGCTCTGTTTGATGAATGCTGGAAAGTACTATAGTCTTGGACAGCGGTCACAGGTGAGGCCCTTACATCAGTCTGTATGTCATTTTGTAATTACTTCTCTACTACTGTAGAGCAGCCTGTAGAAAAGGTTGACACAATAATATAAAGGTGCAAGATCCTAGAGAGTGTCTATAATGGTGAGTATTGTAGAAGGCAGCAAATACTTGTACACACACACACCATGTGCCCCAAATGTGTTTAGATAGCTTACATTCTCAGAACTACTGGATCTTCATATCACATATTTAATATTAGAGATGGGACCCCTTAAAGATACAACTTTGCAGCATTAAAAAAGTAGCCCAGAATGTCAATATTAAATCTATGTTCTTTAGTACAGTATTATAGGTATTTAATGCATAATTTAATTCATTATGTACAAATAAATAGTAATTT